TAGAAGGCACAATTCTTGACGGATTTGACGAAACTTGGCATGAGTGTTTGTTATCACCAAAAGATGAACCCTATTGAAAATCAGAAAAATTGAAAAATATTTAGTATGAGTTATTGCCCTTGTTCTTTAAAATGCGTTCAATTTATAGCTTGTAAACACTCTAGATTCTCAATGGATTTTGCCGAAACTTGGTGTGAGTGTTCGTAATCAGCCAAGGATGAACCGTATCGAAAATCAGAAGAATAAAAAAATATTTTGTATGAGTTATTGCCCTTGTTCTTGAAAACGTGTTCAATTTTTAGCCTGTAAACACTCTAGAAGGCACAATTCTTGATGGATTTTGACGAAAACTTGGCATGATGAACCCTATTGAAAAACAGAAAAATCGAAAAATATTTAGTATGAGTATAAGCAGCTCTTAAAACATGTGTTTTAAGTATTTCAGAAAACTTAGCTCTGGTGTTCCAAAAGATTAACTCTAGTTTGATAAAACTTAGCTCTTGTGTGTTTCATAAAACTTAGCTCTTGTGTGTTTGATAAAACTGAGCTCTTGTGTGTTTGATCAAACTTAGCATTTGTGTGTTTGATCAAACTTAGCTCTAGTGTGTTTGATAAATCTTAGCTCTTGTGTGTTTGATAAAACTTAGCTCTTGTGTGTTTGATCAAACTTAGCTCTTGTGTGTTTGATAAAACTTAGCATTTGTGTGTTTGACCAAACTTAGCATTTGTGTGTTTGATCAAACTTAGCTCTAGTGTGTTTGATCAAACTTAGCTCTTGTGTGTTTGATGAAACTTAGCTCTTGTGTTCAAATTTGTTTGTTATTTTTTTTAGGATAAAGAAGCTAAAAGAGAATTAAAAAAGAAAATTCCTAAAGTTAAGATGATGAAGGTAAGTTTATAAGCTGTATTTCAGGCAGATATTCTCACATCTCCAAAATATTGAATTCATTATGGAAATTCTCACAAAATCATAGGAAAATATTGGATTCACCTTTCGATTAATTCCCCTGTGCTACTATAAATATCGTAGGTGACCGTTTAAAACCTCGTATAACGATATATGACGCGAAATCACTTTTCAAGAAAAACGCAAAAAAACTATTTGTACGCGTATTTTGTTAAAATCTTTTTTATTATTTTTTTACCGCTATACATGGTTTTCATTCTTTGAAAATATAAACCTCATATAACAATTTGAGATCTCCGGCCTATTGAACCAAAAACTCGTATAATAATACAGTATACAAGGTTTTTCATTTTCATCTGCAGAAAAAGGAACATTGAACCTCGTATAATAATATATTTTTCAAGGTTTTAAATCTGACTGTTTATATACGTGTTATTTAATTAGTGGTTTTTGAGTTATTTACAATCAAGCTAAGAATACGAGGTTTTGATCACAAGATCCGCGCTTTTACCAGCTTTCGAACGGTACCAAAAAGTCAAAATGACCAAATATGGCATATACAAGGTTTCAAGCGGTCACCCACGATATAGTGGTTTGCACTAATTCATGCATGGGGATTATCATAAAATCTAGCCTAATTTATGCTCAAATCCCTCTGATGGACTCTTTGAAAATCAGACGAATCGAAAAATATTTACTATGAGTTATTGCCCTTGCTCTTGAATTGTTTGTGGACACGATAGAGAGCTGGTTTCTGGATGGATTTTGACGAAACTTGGTGTGAGTGTTTGTAATCACCCAAGGATGAACCCTATTGAAAATCAGACGAATCGAAAAATATTTACTATGAGTTATTGCCCTTGTTCTCGAAATGCTCATAAACACTCTAGAAGGAACAATTCTTGACTGTTTTTGACGATGTAAGATTTAAACAAAACCCATGAAATATGAAAATTTGACTCTCAGAAACATTCATTTACTGATGACTCGCTATTTTTTCAAGAGTTTTCTGCTCGATAAGTTTACAAATTACACTTAAAAATTTGTTCTTTTCAGGTTGGATAATAGTGGAGAGATGGAGAGTAGCAGCCGAAGATATGAATGAATGAAAATATTTTAATCACATCGTGTAAATCCCACCCTCTATATTGATCTTAAATTATTGTATATTTTTATTGTTTTATGTCTGTGAATTCTTGGGTTGAATGCCATTTTCTTATTTGACTCACAGAAGCATAGGCCATGGTAATAGAAATTATTGTACATTATCATTGTTCTTTGTTTTATTTGGGTTGAATGCCATTTTCTTATTTGACTCACAGAAGCATAGGCCATGGTAATAGAAATTATTGTACATTATCATTGTTTTTTGTTTTATTTGGGTTGAAAGGTATTTTACTATTTGACTCACGGAAGCATAGCCCATGGTAATAGAAATCGTATATTATCATTGTTCTTTGTTTTATTTGGG